ATAACATTGTTTAGACACTATCACCGTGAAGAGGAGAACGGACCTCTATGGTGAGGGGAGTGTCACGAACGTATAGTCGTACGACAGATCTTGCGTACCTTAATAACGTTCCACACGATCCCGGTTATTTTTTGTATGTAGAAAATGTTTTAGATCTTTGAGTTCATCTCATGAAAAATGGGAGCAAAAACAAAAGTATTGCGTTTATATTTTTGTTCAGTGTATCTTAAATCACCTTTGAAAAAGGGGTCCAGCCATGAAATTGCGAGCTTGGGAATTCTGGTGAATCATAAGAAGGATGGCCATCGTGTCTGGGCTCAGTTTGGGGTCCCTGTGGCTCTTTGTTGGGAGATCTGAGCATGAAGTCTCTCAGGGGGTTCCCACCAAACCCCCCCGCACCTCTTTCAGCTCTGTCCTGAGGTGGTGATGGCGGCAGGATTCTGGGAACACCTGGAACATAAGGGAAACACAGACTAAATCTACAATGGAGAATTGCTTTAGACTCATTCTCACAAAAAACACTAATTTTGACCATTGTTAAACATAAAACAAAAATAAATACAAATAAAAAAACATGTAAAAAACGTTTGTACGTGTTGCCATACTATTCTATATTAGTAAGTCACTTCTTGAACTCATCTAAGCACATAGCATTATTTTTAACCTCGACTCAAATCCGGTTACTTCGCTTGTGAGCTAAGTAACCGCATTGCGTCTTTAAGTGAATGTGTTTTAACATCCTGCCTTGATGTATTATGAAAGGTTTTAATGTATAATTTCGTAATAGCACAAGCAAACCTAATTAGTTCATTTTCTTCTCTATACTGAGATGAGTGGTTAAGTACTGGATCACATGGCAGCCTTCATACCAAAGTGTCCAGAGCCCGGCTGCCCGTCCCAGCCGCCCAGCTGGGAGAATATCTCCTCCATCTCCCTGAGGACCTGGCCGAACATGGGGGGCTCCTGGATCCTCATCCCGTCGGGGCCCACGCTGAAGCCAAACCTCAAGGCACTGTCGAAGGGGTCCTGCTGGTCCCCTCGGAAGCCATCATTGTATCCATCTTCTTCATCATCATCGTCGTCGTCATGAGTCATAGCATCGAAGAAGGGGTCCCTGATGCATTACAGCAAGTCAAATAGATGAGTATTCTTGACATGGACACCATTTAGCTTTTGTATTGCTAACAAACATTTAGTGTAATGTCAGCTGAGTGTAATCAGCTATTATGATCACGTTTAATATCATTTTAGTTTATGTTCTAGTAAACACAAGCCATGTCACACGATTGAATGCTCTTAGTTTATCAATGACAGTTTGTCTATACCTTTATGTAATATGAGTCTTCTTAATGTGTGAGTCGACATGACACCACGTGACTGATGCATTGTATTGTACAACTGATTTGTACTATGATGCTTTAATGTCTAAACCATCTTTTTAAATAATTGCAATGACACAACACATTCACTTTTCAATGCCTAGAAGGTCTTCAGCTATTATCCTACAGATTCACTTGCAAATGATATACACTCCTTTCTTATTCTAATAACATGCGTGAATAAACTAACAAATAATTGATTGCGTTAATAGACTTTGACGTACTCAATCGTATTAATCCGGAGGTCACTCTAAATAAAACAGCCACCATGCTAGCCGAGGGACCCCTGTGGTCAGCCTGGCAGGGAAACACTAAAGCTCTTTAACTAAGGAATAGCGTGCGACGCAGGTACCAAGCTGCACCAAGTTAGCGAACTCCTGTTAGCTTAGCTTAGAGTACAGCTGCGTCCTGAATATGACTCAATACGCTTACCTTCGGCCACGATAATGGCCTCCAGGTACTCCGAAGAACCCACGAAATAAGTCAAAAACACTCATTTAACTCCAGCTTTAGTTTTAAAAATAAATCATAACTAAACACAATTCCAACAGCAGATAAGACACGACAACCCCAGTTGTCAACAGTATCGTAAAGTGTTCTAGATACTTCAGAATGACGTAATCAGTCGTAATGCTACGTTACCGTAAGTTATAGAAGGCAAGTGCACTCAAAAACTGCACACTCGTCTCGGGAGCCTCAATATGATGTCAACAAGGATGCTAAATGCGAAACTCTTGCTTGAGTTTCTAATGTTTGAAATAGAGGTTGGGAGGAATTAAATAATCAAAATGGTTCATCAATGTTGACCATAATGAAAAGTTAACTTGACTTAAGTACTTAATTGTTACGCTACGTTACATTAGGCCAAGTTTTAAATGTTAAATATTGCTGCATTTTAATACCATGCAAAATATTTGATCATCAACACCTTAACATATTTTAAACAAAACAATGTATGCATGACTTTGGCCTCTAATAAAGTATTACTACTCTAATACAATTTAGTTTGATGTTAATAATAAACGTAACCCAAGCACTGCCGGTTGGTTGAAGTCCGCTGAAGTGTTTACATGTTTTCCCTAGCAACCGCGTTCCATCACCAAGCGACCAGGAAATGCGCCCGTCACAAATTAATTGCAATATAATGTTCATTTGTTTTAATGATGTTCTAAAAACAAAAAAAAGGAGAAAAAAGAAAACACAGCTGACCCCTTTTCAGCTGTTTGAATAATAAGTCACCCAAAATTCAGTGCTAAAAATAGAACTACATACATTCCAAGAACTTTCTGCCTAGTGAATTCTAATCGTTACAGTCTGTCCAGTAACTAGAACGTGTTCATTAAATGTACTGGATTGAAAAATGTAAAGTTTCCAATACATTTGTTGAAAAGAAAAGTTGTGCTTTAACTTTCCACCAAGTCTGATAAGGTAATGCCTTAGCTGAAATAGGACCTTATGGCACTTTCCTATCTATCAGGACCAGCAGCATGGCTGTATGTTTACATTAAAGAATAGCCTACATACAGACGCTGTAAGGATTAGTAAATGGCAAGATTGCAATGTATTCAGATGGCATCTTAAATAACTAACAAGACCAATCTGGTAAGCAACTAGCTGTCATTCACATACTTATAAAAAAAAAAGGTTATTTAGATTTGAAATTATGCATAGGCCTACACACTATAACAAAAAAGAAACAATGCAAATGTCTGGAGAAGTGTAATTTGGCCCTGCTGATCCCTAGTCTGTTACATAACTCAGACACCAACCCCCCAGTCCGAGTCAGAGGCTGTTTCTCAATGTCGAGAAAACCTGCTGCAGCAGAGCCACTATTTCAAGTATACTACGTCATCAAGTGGTGCCGAAGGACTGTTTAAATGCATGTTAAAGTTAAATGCCCAGCATTCGGCGCCACTCGATGGCATAGTATACTTGAAATAGTGGCTGTGCAGCAGGTAAACTCGAGATTGAGAAACGGCCAGATAGTTTCAGTTGTGCCAAACACTTGATGGGACAGCTTGTTTGTCATTTCCTTGTTCCCCTGATATCAAGTGTCAGCGAATTTACCGTTTCATCCATCAGATTCAACACACACAAACACACCAAACTGTTGGAAGAAGAGATGCTGCTACATTTACAAGCCACATGAGAAACAAATAGTTTCTTAAAAGACATTCACATCCAAAATGATGAAAATGTATTCTTGTTTATTTACTTAATATTTATACAAAATTAAAAATATATATGGAACGAAAAGCTAACAAATCTGCAAGGATTTGAGAAGGAAAAGGAGAAAGCCATTGAACAAACAGGGACTACAGTACTTGTGTTTTTTTTATATATGTACAAGACAAGTTCATCCATTTAAATTGTTTTTAAAACGCACAGTACAAAAAGAAAAAATAAATCACTGACAAAAAACCCATAGTACAATTCTGTCCATCAGTATTCAATGCTGCAGGTTTCCTTACAATAGGGGACAGGTGGTGAAGCAGGGAGGAGGTGGGGGGCCTCAGAAAACTAAATAAAATTAAACGCACTGGAAGGCAGATTGGGTGTGTATTGGCCTTGGAAATCATTCAACAACTCTTGCAGAATAGGTGAGGCCTTAATGCAACATCTTTATCATTCATGGGAACAATTATTGTACAAGTGTGGGATAATGAAAAATGCTGTGCTAGGGAAAAAACAAAGCACAGTACACAACCACGGCCCCCGTGTGTACAAACATGCACGCAGTCACATGACGAACACACTTTCCTCACAGTCAGAGCCAGTGAGTTCGCTTATATGTCTTTATATATAATATATCTATATTTGGTAAAAAATAAACTTCACAACTCTACCAATTTAGAGAATTGTTATTTTTTTTCAAACTTAAAATGACAAAAAAAAAACATTTAACAGCAATCAAGCTAATTTTTGTGTTTGGACATTTTGTTTTGTGAGGGAGGGGAAACGTTTCCACGAAAGTTAAAGAGTGGGGATTTGAGGGTGAGAAATACAAAACCAGCCTGTCCCCCCACCTTCAGATATTACTTCATTCCTCCCCATCTGCAAGAAAAAAAGGGGAGCGGGAAGACTACAAAACAAAAAAACAGACCATACAGGAAACATTCATTCTTTTAGAAAACAGTTCTATGTTACATACAAGTCAGAGAAAAAAAGAGGGCGGGCTGGGGGTTTAACACGATACAAATTCCCAACACTCAATATTTCACCTCTTGAGGGTGCATTTCTATAACCATTTAGCTTTGATCTTCCCTCTCTTCTAAGCCCTTCCTGCCCCCCCCACCCGTCCATGCATCGTTACAGTGCTCGTCCTCTCGGCACAGCACCTCCTGACCGCAGGCAGAGCGCAGGAGTGCTGGGCCAAGAGACGGGGGCGGGATCTCTGCAGGAGGAAGAGGGAGTTTATATGTGGAGACCGTCTGCGGAAGGAGTGATGAGCCCCCTTCTAACTTCTGTTAACAGCGTGGGGGCCCGACAGTAGATGTTAGTTGGCCCCCCAGTTGTAGGTGTTGTATGCCGACTTGTTGATCTGAGACTTCTGCTGAAGGGAGGCGTTCTGGCTGCGCTGTCCAGTGCCGCTCTGTGGGGAGAGGAAAGAGTTGATGTGAGCTGTCCATCAATGCCATGTTTTAACTCAAGTATTTAGTTGCCAAGCGACAGGACAAACCTAAATACACTTAATGATTAATCTGAAAATAGACCACTTTAAAATGGGATTGCAAACGTTGGCCTGGACATTACCTACAAGGCATGAAAAGAAAAGCACAGGCTACAGTGTTTCCACTAGGATTAGCTTTGTGTCTAAACAATCAAACAGTCATTCTACCACCACACAAAATTCTGTTCTCGAATGCAATCACTTTATAATTTCCATCTTATTGATCAGTTATGTTTGGAAAACTCCTCGAGCCCTCCTTAAACCACATCAACATAAATTAGATCAATCGCATAGCACTTATTAAACAAGCTGTTAGCCTGCTTCTCCAGATATTTCTTACTTCCATAACAATGGTTTTCCTTTTAAAAACAAATGCCGACTGGTGTGTTGCCACTGCATGCCAAATTCAAAACAGCACACAAGGCTAAATGATGATGAATAAAAACACAAGTAACCTGTGAGTTCATATCATCTCTGATCATTATAAACAAAAGAAAACCAGAACTAAAAGCAGATTAAGTGTCTTTATTTCTTGATTCCTAACCTGAACTATAGGTGTGAAATCAAGCTGCATCAACAGATGGAGAAAAACACAACAACAGTGGCATTTCCTGTACCTGTCCGTCCTGCTGCAGGTGGTGGTGAAGAATCTGAGAGTGGGGTTGTTGGTGAGGGGCCAGGATGTGCATGAAGGGGGCCGGGGCGTAGGCAGTGGCAGCCGGGGGGTTGATGGGACCCCCGCTCCCCAGAGCTGACGGCAGGCTGAACGAAGCTGCTGGCGTGCCAGCGTGGAAACCCTGCTTATCGAACGACTGCAGGGGGAAGGGAGTCAAAGACATGACATCTTTGTTTAATTCAAACTGCATTGGGGGGTGGGGGGGAGTTGTTTCCTGTGAGAATGGGCGTTAAATATTTATGATCTGTAATTACCTGAGTCTTTGTGTAAACGGACCCTGAAATGTCTGGTACCCCCGTGTTGCTTGATGTCACAGAGACTCCTGCAGACACAGAGGAGACAACTGTGTGTATTGTTATTTGTGTTGAATAAATGCTACAGGCCCAAGCCAAGCTGCATGGCCCTGCTGCCCACCTGCTCATTACGATTCCTGGATCAGACCCAAAGTGAAAAACAACAGCGGGTCACTTAAGGTGGGCTGACCTTTAAGGTGGATCAGTTATTCTCACAGGTCTTTTGTTATTCATTTAAATGTCAGGAAGAGCCCAGGAATAAAAAAGGAAAAGTCATATTTAAGTTGTGAAGGCAACTGATTGTATTTGATGAGCACACAATATCTCAGGCCACTGAATCGAAATCCTTTTGTCGTAGAATCTGTGCCATCTGTAAAAATACTGTCGTTCAAAGAACCAATATAATATTGTATCGGGATGAAACTTGTAATTTACATCTCCAAGTGTGTAAAAGCTACAGCGTGCAGTGTGATGCGTGTTCTTCTTTATAGCAGTAATTTGTGATCTGCGTATAGAATGGTAAATATGAGAGGTTCCCGTCAATAATACAAATAAAATGATCTAAACACTTAATAGAACATTGTTGAAAAAAGTGCAAAAACAAATAAGGCTCAATGAATGAATTATTATTCCTAAGTGAACAAGAAAACTAATGTGTAAAATTGACAGACAATTTCTTTACAGGAACACTTACTATAATTCAAGTTTCTGAGAAAGAAAATCTTGCATAGAATCTTGGGAAATTTCAAGTATACACATCTATGTCAGCAAAAGTTCATAGATGTTGTGAGAAGAATTTCCTTAAAGTGAGGAGTACGGTAAAGGATGTAAAGAGGGATGAGATGAAGAGAGGTGAGAAAGAGCATATCAGTATCATATAGGCAACAATATTCAAATTCTTAGTGTGTGTGGTTGCTTAGCATGGCTTCAATCAGACATGAAAGTTGCAGAAAGAGCCACAATGCTAATGAGATGTTTGGCATTTAAAGCCAAAGATGGTGAAACATCATATTAAGGAAAAGTGATTTGAGATATGCTACAGAGTTGTTACTAGGTACAAGAGAAAAAAACACATGAAAGTCTCATTTGTCAGAGAAATAACACAATCCAAAGATTATAGAAGATATACTGATCAATCCCTTGACAACCTTTCACAAGGCAACCCGGTTTTCATTTAGGTACCATTCTATGTGAAGAACGAGATCATCATGAATGTGCACAGCAGAGATGCGCAAGTCGAACCAAAACCGACTAAGCTTGTAAAATAATAACACGTGTGTGCGTGTGTTTCCGTAAGCAGCTCCACCCACAGGACAGTGAGCTGGATTCTCTGGAGACGAACATACCAGCAATGGCAACATGAGTGAAGAGCAAGCAGCAAAGATGGAAAATGGGACAGCATCAACCAGGGCAACTCATCAGTTTATGGCAGCCGCTGTTCTCGTGCCCTGCCACATTTTTGACTCTAATCCTTATAATAACATAGCATACATGTCCAAAATGTAAAAACCAGATGGGGTTGATGACAAGTTGCCCTGGAAGAGAACAGGGAACGGACAGAACGGCAGACACGGCTTTTAAGAGAGGCAGGCTGCATTGGACTGTCTAACAGCGGATGTAGTGTGACGGGTCTTCCTACAGACGCAGCTCATCAGCGATGAGGCAAAGGACTGAGAGCAAAGAAGGGGAGGAGGATGGTTGGTGACACAAGAGGGAGACGGGGGGGGGGAAAGGTTTTGTTTCCCTTTTGCTTTGGCATGTGGCGGCACTCACCGACTCCCGGCCCGCTGACAGAGCTGGCTGGCTTGTTTTGTGCAGAAGCGGCAGCGGCAGTGCCGTATCCGCCCTTACAGAAATCCCCACTCCCTGAAGCCTGGCCCACATCCTCATAGCCTGCAACAGTCAGATACACAGCCACAGCCCACAGCGTTAGACACACCAGGCAGCGGGAGCCGACCTGCCTCAAATAGCATTTGCAAATAATTCAAAGTTTGAAACTGTGTACCAGATGGACAGGTTTCACAAAATTGTGACAATACAGATTGTGTCAAGTCCTTAAGGAAACGCTCTCGATACTTTATCATCTGAACTTTGACACCAAATGCATTGTTCTTTGTGGCTAAATCTGTCCATCTGGAACATCATGAATGTCAGAATCATCGCCGACATAATATGCAAATACTATTTGACCCAAGGAGGTGGGGGGAGTGAGGGGGCAGGCAGGGTGTGTGTGGGAGGGGAGGGGGGGTGGAGAGCTTGAGTTGGGTGATAGCAGAAAGCAGCAGATGGTGCACAAATGTGACCAGAGGTAGATATTGAGTGATGAACTATGAAAGTAAAATGAATCACCACTGAAAAAAGCAAAACAAGCAAAAGATACCAGAATGCCTAAAAAATATGAATAAATGGGTTAAGAAGAAATTTGGGAGGATGATGGTTGTGCCGTTAGTTAATGAGTTGTGTATGTATGAATGTGTGGGAGGGAGGTGGTGTGTGTTATGGAAGGTGAAGCCTTGGGGCAAATGACAACTTTCTGAAATGAGCAAAGCAAGCTATGGAAGGCAGCAGGAGACCGATAATGTCGACCTCTGGTATTTAAACTGCCAGCCAGGTGCCTCTGTTCAAGCCCAACCTATCCTTTCCCATTCAGTTTAAATGGCAGACATGTTTTCGAAATACTGAGACTTCTTTCGTGTGTAAAGGCAATGAAAACTGGGTACCAGACGCAATTCCTAATCGGACAAAATGAAACCTCTACATTAATACTAAAACATGTTTGTCAACAAGTGAGAGTCAGCATGCAAGAATGCGTTTAGAACTACAGGCAGATACCTTCCCAACACATTACAAGAGTGTTTACACAAGCATCATGTTTATGCTTGTAGAGGCTGCAGAGCTCAAATAAAATATGCAGTCCACATTGAGGCGAAATCAATGGGCTCATTGTGAGTAACAGCACAGATGTATTGGTATGCAAGTGTATAGAGTAGGACTTGCATGACACCTGTAAACATGCAGCTTCTGTATCGTTTAGGGCCTCACCAGTGCTGTATCCATGGGAACCATAACCACTAGCCTGCTGGAAGGGTGCGGCTGACGCGTTGACGCCGACATTCACACCGTGCTGCTTTGACGAGGTAGGAGCCACCTGGACAAAAACAAAACCATGTAAAGTCATCGAGTGGTAACCAAATGGGGTAACCAAAGTTTGTCTTGGGGACTCGTGAAAATGCAGCTTTCTGCTCGTTCAGGCTCAGGAAGTACTCAGACAAAATGAATTCTAATACAGCACCATCAAAGGAAAGGCGCTAAAATGATCTCTTCCAATAGTGCAAACATCAAATTTGACTTGACGGTTTGCTCCCGTCTAAACAAACAGAGATGTTCCTGATGTTATGATGATGCTTCTGATCCTAAATAAAATAGAATTAAAACAGTGAGAGAAATGCTGAATTGATAAGTGGCTTACAATTTTAAGCTCAGTCGTCCATTCACACAAACATTAATATGACAATGATTGCTTAGCTGCCAAGCAAAGCAATGGTCAGTAATTGAAGGCAACCAGTCAGCTAGCTTTTGGAAAGCAACGTTTTTCCTCACCGGAAACACAGCAGGTCCGTACTGGAAGGTGTTGGGTAGGCCTGGCATGCCGGTGTAGTACGGGAGGCTCGTGTAGCTGTAGCCGGGCGGCAGCGCTGGGTTGAGGAAGGGCTGCTGCGCAGTGTGATGCGCCTGCGTCTGGTTCTGTTGTGTCTGCGCTAATGTGGTGGCTGGGGAAGGAGACGATGCATCACCTCGACCAAACTTTGATAAGTCACCTGCAAATACAGAATGGGATGTTTGTGTGTGAGTACAAACGTCTACATGAGATAAAACACAATACATTACTAGCAAACAATGAAAAGGAGATATGAAAGAAGGAAATCCTCAACTGCTGGCCTGTTTTGAGGTGCCATTTCTACGGGAAGTTGAAACATTAAGGCCTTGAAGGAACAACCAAAGCTTATCATCTCTAAAGATTGTTAATTTATTTATTGGCATTATACGGTTTCTAGTCAATTTGGAAAACCTTAAATATATACAGTTCTCAAGTTAATCAAACTCCCAGGCCAGGCTTGGATTCTACCAGCAAGCAAAAAAGGCTCTTCATTTATTGTGAGGATAATCATTAAATTCCAACGGTCCCTTCATCACCAAACAAAAAGCGGCTTCAACAAGCAGCTAACTGTGGAGAAGACACAGTGAGCTTAGCTTTTAATAGACAATTGTGAGATGGCTCACCAGAGTAAGGGTTGTTAGTCAAGTTGCCGTCTCGGCCAGTCAGTGCTGCTGTGGGAGTTGCAAAGGGTGCAATGCTGTAATAATCCTGGGGAGAGAAAAACATTGTTTGTTTTTTGAATACCGGACATGCAGCAATAAAGCATGGCTTGTGAATAATGTTTTTATTGCAGGAGTTGTTTTCTTTTACAAAAAAACAAAACTCACCAGCGGTATTCTTGCCTGCAGCATTTGTAGGTCATCGTAGCCGTACACCTGAGGCTGAGACACAGCAAGAAAAGTGTTACTTTATAAACTATATAACAAACTCTAGTAAGTGCAGATAAAAAGCTCAGTTTGTATAAACAGTGAGTCTGTCAGGGACTCACAGGGTAGGCGTGCAGTAGTCCAGGGGCCATGATGTAAGGGTTGGGCAGCAGAGGGGGCACTCCAGGGGGCAGGTTTGGAGGAGCTTTCCCTGCATGGACAAATCATGTAAAACACAAGCAATGCATTACAAACTTATTCTTAGATCTATTACACATTCATTTATTACGCACACCGGCAAATAAAGAAATGAAAGTACAGTACATTTACGAATTCACTAAATATACAACTAGTTTTTAATTGGCAAGGAGAGATCCGTTTCAACACATTTCTCCCTGAGATGAATCAGTAAATGACAACACCGCAATATACCGCTTGTTAAACGATGCACTGGCAGAGGGAGCAGAAAGGAAAACACATCAAATGTGTTTGAGAGAGAGGGACAGGCGTTGGGAACAGCGCAGGCCGCGCAGAGTGCAGCCTGCGCTGCTGGCTTCCTCCAAGTTTACTGTAAAACAAACTGGTGGTGTGACCAATGGCCATTTACAATTATTAATACTATTACTATTATTAGCATTAGTCTATATTTTGGTTGAAACTAAGCCAGGAAAAAAAAGAAAAACATAAATAATAATAAAAAATATATATAAATAAAATCAAATTTAAAAAAATAATTTTCAATTATGGAGACTGTAACGAATATTCGAAAAAATCGAATAATNACTGACAAGCTGCACCTGGGCAGCTGTTATAAGACAGCCCATCACGTTTTGCCCCTCACATTCCTCTCACACACTCCCCGTGTGAGCCTCGCGTCGTGGCTGTCGCCACGACGCGAGGCTCACACGGGGAGTGTGTGAGAGGAATGTGAGGGGCAAAACGTGATGGGCTGTCTTATAACAGCTGCCCAGGTGCAGCTTGTCAGTCCACAATCACCCCACTGCACTGGAACCTGCCAACAAGGAGAGAGAGAGACCACGGAGCGCCTAGTGGTGTGGAGGGGTCGTCACACTCCCCCCCATAAAGAAAGGAGTTCCATTAAGAACACCGTCAACTACCAGGACCCACCAACAGTAAACATCCCAATTTTCCCCACACATTTTTCTTTTCTTTTTTTTCTTCTACTTGACATTACTTTTATCTGTACCTCAAAATAGTAAAATTAACATTGAACGGATCCGTACCGACTTTTTGTAGTTCCTGTACTTTCCTCCTTCCCATCTCATCAACTCCGGCTCCCAAAGAGGCATTTTAAGAGCTCGGAGCTCTAGACAAAGCATCGGCCACCACGTTATCCGAACCTTTAATGTGGCAGATGTCCAGACAATAGGCCTGTAGATAAAGCATCCACCGCATCAACATGCAATTTGGGCAACANCCGACCACTCCACCATTTCCTCTTTCAGTCCTTGATGTCCTTTGCCAGACCATCCTAGGCAAGTCTTAATGTTACAATATAACAATCATCATTGCACAGAATCCCTTAAAAAGAATCACACACCCCTCACACTGCTGTCCTCATATCAAACTCCTTGGGGACGGCCAATGCAGCTAGAGTTAGGAGACCCTGAGCGAGACGCGGTCGAAGCACCTGGACTACGACCACAGGTTTGTTTATTTGATATAATAAGAATGGAGAGCAGAGCGGAGGGACGAAATAAAAAAGTCGGGTGCTCGGCCCAACATTATTTGACTGAGATTTAAACATTCAGGGGTACCAACCGTTTGCTCTGAGCTCTAGACAAAGCATCGGCCACCACGTTATCCGAACCTTTAATGTGGCAGATGTCCAGACAATAGGCCTGTAGATAAAGCATCCACCGCATCAACATGCAATTTGGGCAACAAACTGAGTGCAAGAAAGTGATGGGGTTATGGTTTGTGTACACAATCAGAGGAACACTAGAGCCTACATACACGTCAAAATGCTGTAATGCCCAGATGAGCGCAAGGGTTTCCTTTTCGATCACAGAGTAGTTCAACTGAAATGAGTTACATTTCTTAGAATAGAAACTCACGGGGCGATCCACCCCACTGCCATCAACTTAGAACAGTACAGCTCCTGTCCCGACATCACTTGCATCCACATGCAGTTGGAAAGGTCGATCCATGCAAGGAGCGGCAAGCACAGGAGGTGAAGACAGAACAGACTTTAAATTACCAAAAGCCTGCTGGCACACGTCTGTCCAAACATAACAGGCTTTTCCTTTCGGCAAATCCGTCAGGGGAGCTACCACAGTAAAAAACTGCGATAGTACCCAATTAAACCAAAGAAACGCTGAAGTTCTTTTTTGGTGGTGGGAACTGGGTACTTAGTTATCGCACTCACTTTGACCTCGACGGCACACACAGTCCCCTGCCCTACAACTTTGCCGAGGTAAGTGACGGTGGACTTTGCAAAGTCACACTTTGCCAAGTTTACTGTCAGGCACGCCTCACTCAACCGGTCAAACGGTTTCTCAATACGGGCCAAATGTTCCTCCCACGTATTGCTATAGATCACAACGTCATCCAAGTACACGGCACAACCTTCCAACCCCGACACCACCCTGTTCATAAGTCGCTGGAATGTGGAGGGAGCATTACGCAGACCAAAACTCATCACATCATAGGAATATAACCCTGAGGGTGTAATAAAAGCGGAGATTTCCTTGGCCCTTTGGGAGAACCTGCCAGTAACCTTTACAAATGTCAAATTTGCTAACAAACTGCGCAGAACCAACCTGATTAATACAATCTTCCATACGAGGCAGTGGATACGCATCGGGTTCAGTAACAGCCTTAACCTTCCAATAATCTGTGCAAAACCTAGGACTTTTATCAGACTTCTCCACAAGCAGACAGGGTGATGCCCAGCTTGAACAAGAAGGTTCGGCGATGCCATTTTCGAGCATGTAGCCTACTTGATTTCTGTGTCCATTACCTGACGTTTTTCCTCAGACACACGACAGAAACGCTGGCGGATGGGATGCGCACCCTCTACATCTATATCATGCACTATCATGTGTGTTCGGCTTGGTGTATCTCTGAATAGACACAGATTACTATGAATCAGAGCAGTCAGCTCAGACCTTCCTTCTGCCGACATATGACCCAACAGTGACTCCAGATTACGCAAAGTTTCAGTGTTCTTCAATTTTCCCCGCAACAAGCTCTCATCAGGCGCTGTAACCCCATCATCCTCCCCTCCGGAGAACTGACTCCCCACTGCCACTGCTGCTGAGAGAGGTTTAGACTCATTAGCATAGTATGACTTCAGCAGGTTTATATGGCAGAGCTGAGTGGCTTTTCTACGTTTCGGCGTGGACAGGAGAACATTTTGGTCAGATACCTTTGGAAACGCTGGCGTATCATTTTGGTCAGATACCTTTGGGCCAGAACATTTTGCCTGAAACGGCGAATTAACCATTGATAACAAAGCCAGGACCTGATCTCCAGGACTAAACGAGCGCTGCTCTGGTTTTCGGTCAGACGCTTCATCTTTCCCAGATGACGACAACTTCTCTCTGGCCATCTCCCCAACTGAATACAACCGATGCCGGAACACGTTTACACAGACAACAAGATTACTAGGGGTTTCTGACGGCGTGACAGCATCGTTCAGCAGTTTGGAGGGGTCGTCACACTCCCTGCATAACTGCTGCTGTAGAAGCTGTCATCATACCTGGAGAAGCTGAAAACTCCCATTCCTGCAACCAAAAGTGAAGGCAACAAAAGTGATTGCTTTATCACCATCTAGTGGCAGATCAACAACATTACATCATACAGGACTACTGATGAAATTGTGTAATGTGTGTTTATTCTTTTATACAAAATGTTCCTCAACTATGAAGCAATGTTTCTTTGGGGATAACAGGAAGTTGTGATGAATAGGAGCATTATTATTAGGTCTGGTTGGCTAATACAGAAAGTCATATTTTCTCAGTAAAGGCTTTGTGGGAAAGGCTCACCGTTACTGAGAGAAGCTTGTCCGAAAACAAAATTCCAGGAGTCTTTGGGGTAGAGGTCAATCATTGTGATCCCAACAATGCAGAAAGCATCTGCTGGTTTCCTACTCCACAGGAACTGTAGCAGGTCACCTACAATGCAAGATAAAATGATACTAAACAGTTATTTGTTCTACTATTATTTCATATCCTAATTAATTTGACCATGCCTACTGTCATTTCTATCTCTCAGTAGGATTTGTATGACTCAATGTCATTATAACATGTACTTTAGCTGCTGTTGTTTTGTTTTTTTATGTTTAATATGTCATATATTTTGTATCTTCAGTATGTGTACTACTCTGGGTGGCGCTACAAATACATGGACTAATAATGTGATTTAAATGTTTTATTATATTTGAAAACAAAGCAAATCATTCACATTTCAGATGGAGATTTCTGCATTTTGCCAGAACCCCACAGTAGATATGGCACAATGAAAGGTATCCTGAGGTAAACATGATGGACTCCCAGCTCACCGGTGAGGATCTGAAGGTTGTGGGAGTCGCTGTTCACCCTGAAGGAGCATTTTGTTTCAGCCACAGTAACTGCCGGCAGTAACTTGACAGAAAGCCCATAGAAGAAGGCCTGGCAGTATTCTCTGAGCCACTCCACACACTGATCCTTCTGAACCCCCGCCCCGCCAAAGGAACCTGAAAAACATAGTGCAGAATGAATGCAAGCAAACGATGTAATGCTGCACTTGGAGTCCAAAAACTGCTGCACAACAAACTCTACATGCCTCATCCATCTTTAAAGCACACAATGTAGTTTCTTGCATGTTTTTTGGTCATTAGGTGACATGAACTATGGTGATACGTTGAAGTGGTCATGGGTAAAGACTTTATTACAGAGGCTCTAACCCACATGTGTCAAACTCAAGGCCTGGGGGCAAAATAAGGCCCTTGGTGGATTTAATTTCAGCCCGCAGAATAATTTCTAATTACTATTAGATCTGGCCCGCCGGTATACTGCTCGCACACCTTCACTCAACCCTGAGGATTTCCTCAGCTCAGAGCCTGAGCCCAAACATTGATGAACCCAAGATGAGATGCCAAGTATCTGGCTTAGTGTGCATCACAGAGCAGCAAACTGAGTTTACATGGATGTTTCCTTCTGCACTTTCTTTCTTGCGACAACAGGGCATGTTTGGTTTTTTCATTGAGGGAAATTGTTTTGTTGAAGCTGTTGTTGGCCTGTGTAAAATTGTACTCATAAGAAATGACTCCGGAAAAGCTACAGATATAGCCATAAGAAATGAATGCAACTGATATTTAATGTTGGTTTTATAGGCAATAATTTAAGCTTTGTTAGTTCCAGGTTTAATATGTGCAATAAGTTTATTTCAATAAGCTTTGCAATAAACATTGAACCAGTCCGGCCGTCGACTAGTACCGATTTTTAAATGTTGGCCCACTGTGTGTTTGCGTTTGACACTGTGTATTTGCGTTTGACACCCCCTGCTCTAACCCCACAAGCAAACTCACATATGGTTTGAATGTAAATAGTATTGTGGCTTGCATTTGGGGTCTTGCGGGAAGGGTCTCTGTAGAAACTCTCAAAGTCTTGATGCTCCTCAGGTTGAGCGGAGATCCAGTCTGAGTGGACTGTGATGGGTTGGAAAAGGGAATCGGGCCGCTGCCCTGCGTGGAATCCTTCCTCCAGAAGATGCCTCTGCTTTTGTGTATTTGCTGTAAAGTCTATAGCTAAGTCTTTATGATTGGAAACCAACGCTGTCTGCAGTTCCTGGACAGAGTGCTGGATTAACTTAATCTACAACGGAGATATACAGCATTAACATGTAAACAGATATGCAGCATTAACAGGGTCACAAATAAAGTCACAGTAATATTTAGAAATTGGCTTTGCTATCGGTTTTTTGTTTTACTTTTGAAGGATACCTGAATGCTTATGACAGAAATGATGTGAAACAGAATGTAAGGAAAGTGTGCAAAAGCGTTTTAAATTGATTCAATATAATGACAATTTGATATTACAATGTGATATGTGTAAATTGTGGAGCATGACGTTTTGAAAATGTTAATTCTGGAGGTGAAAAAAGCAGCATACCGAAGCGACTGAGACAGAACAAGTATTATACCCTTACGTTCAACAACGCAAAAAGCCTGTTCTCGACACTATCAAAAACCTTCTAAGCCATGTTAATTAACTTATTCGTGGAGAAAAAAATGCTAATATTATCTTAAATGTGGACAAGAGGTTCACCCATGTTGACACCGGAAGCCGTTTCCGCATTGTACGTGATCCGGTGACGTAATGTAAACACAGGGGCGGAGCTTCCGGAATCACTCCGCAGAGACAGACAGCAGAAACACACCTAACAACCGGAGTACCGCTTATCATACTCCGGACAACTGTAGAAGTGACTGTATTTAAAAACCTTTTACTCATTTCGTTTTCTTAGTGACGGACTTGCTGTCAAGTACAGACAACAGTTATTAACCCCGAGTAACGGCAAAGTGGACGAAATACGAAGGCGGAAGAACTTTCAGTTAGCTCAAGTAGTTAGCCGGTGTTAGCTAACATGCTAACAAGCTAGCTCTGCTGTCATGCCTGGAGTTTCTCGAGATTTCATGTCGTAAACGAGAATTGATGGTGGTTAGCTGGTTAGCTTTAGCAGTTTGTTCCACCACCGAGGCGTAGGCACTGAGGACTTGGGGAAGAAGTGACAGGTCTGAGCTAACACTCCGTCTTCCTACGGAGACCTCTGCTTCTTCTTCTTCTGAAGACTTTTTGATGAGATGACAGGGAGCTTGCTATACTGAGTCTCTACGAAATGGTCGTGCTGTGACATAGCTTTCAAATAAGATCCCGGCTCAAAAGGAGGACTGTCAACCTTTTAATTTAGCCAAAAAGAAACCTTCGTCAAGATTGCAGAAATGCTGACTGACAGCAGGTAACTGGGATACCATTTTTACACATCTGACATGCACTATTACATTTATAATTGTTTGACTAATTGTATTGTGTCGAAGCAACCCAGTGCAGTTATCAACAGTTATATGATTTTAGTGTTAATGTAATATTTAAACTGTTAATTCCCAATATAGACCCCACTAAGGGCATGCTAATCAATGTGTTCTCATAATGGGAGCACCACATGTATGATCATGTAACTGGGATGCTATTTTTGGATTCCTCTTTATGTTCTCTCTTTTTTTCATATTCTTCCTTTCTCCACCCCTGCCTGTCACACTTCACTTTTATGTTCACTCTGTACTCACAACACTCTGTTACTTACATTTGTGTTTTCCACAGGAAACGACACCGTAGCTGTGACAGTGAGGAACCCCAACAGCTGAGCCCTCAGGCCAAGAGGTCAGGAGTGGGTCCCAGTCTGCTCGTTTCAGATTTAGATTCAGAGGTAAGTCTGAAATGATCTTGACATTCATCTTAACACCATGTAGGTTTACCCCTTTTATCTAAATGTGTTATGAGTCTTCCAAGGTCATGTATTCCTTCATCGCATGTGTATAAATAAATACATGTGACTCTGCATCGCACATGCAATGCACCAGTGTCAGGAAAAGCACAGAATGTTTTATTTACAGCCTTTCATCCTCACTCATCCGTGAAGCGTCAATTCACAGCTCATCTCTTTGGTGTTCTTGCAGTCTTCCAGTAGTGACAGCAGCAATGGGATCAGCAGTCCAGAGACAGGCATAGTGGCCACCGCCAGGCCGTCAATTCACAACAGCCGCATCCCCCAGTGCTCCCTCAGTCCGAAGCCAGAAGACTCGCGTAGCTCCTTGCAGCAAGGTTTCCATGGCGACGGCAGCAGTGTCTCCTATGACTGCATCAACAGAGTCCTGCGGGAGGCGCACTTCAGCAGCCTGCAGACCAGAGAGCGTCCAGGCTCAACATGACCGTGACCTCCGACCCCATCTCCTGACCTTTAGTCCCTCGCCCATCAGTGCTGAATCTCCTGGTACGGCGGGGGGAGGGGGGTGGGGGATCCTCCTCGGGAAAAAAACTCACCCGTGTTAGGGGGGAGGGGATGATGTGTGGGGAGGTTTACAGAATGTTTGGGCACAAAGGCTCATCCCCACCTCACCATGTACCATTTGTTAAGACCATAAGCACATCCGCCTGTCCATGGCCCAGCCACTGTGGTTTCTGTGCAGTATTGTGTGTGTGTGTGAGTGTGTGCACGCACCCTGTGCACTTTATAAAGAGGTATCATTCTCTTTACATGCGTGCGTCGATGCGTGGACATTTTCATTGGTGCTAATCACAAGAGACGCGTGATGATCCAAAGTGCTTGCAAAACTAAATGAAGCTAAGCACTTTAATCAATAAGTCCTCATTCTGTTTTCTCGGCTGGGGAAGGCGGCTGAATGCTTGTGTGTGTGTGGGGTGTGGGGGGGGGGTCATTGTTTAGATTCAAGAAGGAGGTTTATAGAGGCCAAGGACTCACAGGAGCATTGTTTAAAAAATCCAGTAAAATAACTTGTTACGGCTTCTTGTGTCAAATTTAAGGAAATAATTCACCCACAAAAACACTTCGTACATCCAAGTGTGCGTTTAACAATAGCAGAACTGTGTCGAATAATTTGTTTACAAGCTCTCAGACAAAATATTTCCTGTCTCATTTAATGAATCTGGATAAAGGACATTTGGACACGTTTGGCAAGAATTTGTCGACGATTTTTGAAAATGTTTGACGCTTCTTTCACCTTGTCCCAATCCAAGGTAACATGGTGAGAGTAATTGATGGATGTCCTTTTAAATGATAGTGTATTTAAACATACTTTCTCAGTCCAAATGAATCTAAGTGTGTTTGGTCAGGTCAGTGGGTAAGAGGTAAGGGAACAGATGAGTCGCACCACCAAAAAACCCAACCTCAGATTAGACGCCAGCTAATTATAGAGCCGTGAGAGGACTCTGCGTTTCAGGCGGTGTCAGGAACAGAGCGTCTCACTGAAACAGCCCGGAGAGAAAGCGCTGTTTGTAACCATGTGTTTAACATTCGACACATCGTCTGTGTGTGTATGCGCCTGTCAGCCATACCTGTTGTATGTATGGGTTGAAAATGACCAGTACACTGTGTTGCAAATAAAATGAGAGATGTGGAAGTGACTCATATTTTATGTAATTTTCCTAAACATAGGACATTGAAAAATAAAGGCGTTGCTGAAAGCCGGGTCTGCAGTATTACATTTGTTTCAGTTGGTGCTGGAAGAAACACAGCAGGTTTTATTGTTACTCGGCATAGTTCATGTTCACTGAAATGAAATACATCAGTATCGTTCTTTGTACATATCGGTAGGCTGGATTACCATTTTGGCGTGTAGTGTAAACCACATTCCTCGACACTGCAGTACAGTGTGTGTGACTGGAACAACGATTAAAACGTAATCTGCCTTTTATTTGGTTACACAAACAACTGTTTCTAAATTGTTGATAATCTGCTTTATGTACACTGTAAACCCAAATGTTGACAATCATTTGAAAGATTAAGTAGTGTACACTAACATTAGTAAAAAGTTCTTCTAACGGGAATATGTGGACTTCTTGTGATATTTCTTAGTTTTGTTCATTTAACAAATCATCTGTTATTTACTTGGACTATTTTGCAGATTAAGTGAGCACTAATTAAAAGTATACATTTCTCTGTACTTGTTTCTTGTGTCCATGCGTCTGATGTCACTAACGGCACGCAGGAAAGCACCATAAATGCCTGCAGTAAGGTGACACTTCATTTTCGGCGTTTGATGTATAATATTAAAGGTCTGAAAACATTTAAGTACATCAACTTTAAAGAACTAAGGCAATCAGATACCTTACATTTTTTGGAGTTATGGTAACTTTTCAGGTTTACAGAGCACACAAAATACCTAAATAATAAATTCCTCCATTAGTTCTTCAAACGTATCTTCACATGCACTCTCAGATGGGTTATGGATTCATCAGTACAGGGTAGACGCAATAAATAGGTTGTAAACTAACACTCATGACGTTTACACTGACATACTGTACGAGGTAAGTACCAAAAAATATGGAAGACCACTCTCAGATTTATGAGTCCATAAGAAAAGCAACTGTGCAAATAACAAATCGAGGGCGTTCTCCCTCGGAGGTTTAGCGCTCGCTGCCGAGGCGTTAGTTTGTTTTTGTTAGTTAAACGCAATCCTGAGACAAAGCAACTGTTTATAATAACAACCTGTAATTCAAGCATTATTGTTAAATACTTATTAGGAAAATTAGGCCTCAACCTACAAACGGCATCCAGCAAAGCCCTCATGTCTGAAGAGTTAAGGGGTTTCTCAGCTGTGGACTCTAAAGGACAATATCTCTGTCTCTGCTGCTTGAAGACATTACCCAACGAGGCACCGTACTGATAGACAGAAGATCCAAACATAATGTAAATCTGCTGTCTGTATAATCTTGATTTTGAATTCAATAGATTTCCTAACTTAATGACATCATTGGCTTAACTGCGACAGCTCAAGCTGTGTAAAGTTGGTCAAAAGTTGAGAAAGGAAAAGGCCGACACTGGTTGGCTGCTGTCACATGCGACTGAAGTGCAAATGAAAGCAGTGTCATCACTGGTTTTGCTGCCGTTCTGCAGAGCTTGATTCTCCTTTAAGCTGTCGGCCATCGTGTCCATCTCATTCTGGGATGTCTGTCTTTTACACAGCGGCGTTGCCTTGGTGACCAGCTGCATCCCGCTGAACAGAGACAGTCTGCTCAGACAGGGCTGCTCACTCTGAGGCTCCGCTGACGAGAAGCTATCTGTGTGAAGCTCTGGTTCTTCAGCGACAGATTGAACCTCGGCAGTCCTGTTCGGCTCCGCCTGGTTCTGCATTGACTCGGTCAGAACGGGAGGAAGTTTCTCCTCTTCATCGTCATTCATCAGCTCCACTGAGGAGTCTATCTGGACCTCCGGACCAGAGGGAGAAGATGGGTGATTTGGTGGTGGGGGGACACCAGTGGGTGAGATGTGGAGCTGATGAAGGGTGGTGTTGGTAGCAGACTGGGTTGGTAGTAAAGGGTCTAAGTATGTGGCTGCAGGAAGCCGGTGACATGTTTCCTGATGGCTGCTGTTTGCTGCTTCCTGCCTCGGAGCGTGAGCAGATCCACCAATCAGAGCCTCAAACTGACGCAGGATCTGGTGAGAGGAGATAAGAACAAAAATAAATACGCCCTCATTTGAAATGTTATCTAGCCCTGCATCCTTATACAACGCTCTCATGGTGTTAACACAAATGTCTGCCATGCTAATCATCATGTTTCCCTTAAAGGGTCTTAGTGTCCGTCTGTTGGCTGATCAGTTTATTATAGACTCATAAAAGGAGCTGAAAGCTGAACATGTCCCTTATGATGTCATAGGGTTGATTCTGTCCCATCAGTCCTCACCATGTGCAGCCTTCTCTCTCACCTTGGTGGCTTTGTTGGCCACGGGCCCCGGAGGCCCCTCACTCAGCTGACGGAGCCGCCGTTGTGTAGCTGCAAACATTTGTTCCAGAGAGAGGAGGTCAGAGGTCATCAGGCAGGATACAGCACACAGTGCCCGCTGCAGGGTTAGAGGAAAACAAAGAAAGGTATATTAGTCCTGCATATTTACATTTATATATACAAAAAAAGGAAAACATATATATGGATATTCAGTGAATCTTAATCGTGGTTACCATCTGAACGGTGTTTGAGGGATCCTGAAGCTTGCTTGAGAGCAACTCCACCACCACCTCACAGTTGAGAATGGAGCACCTTAAAGATTAAATGAGACAGAAATCAAGCCAATTAAACCAAAATAATGATAACACAGTTCATAAAAGGAGAATGGGCATTATTTTCAGTCTGATTTGAGCTGCACTGACTCTTTGATGAAGTGCTGGCTCTCCTCTCTGGACAGGAAAGCTTTGGGTCCTTCGGTCAGTCTGCTGATCAGCGCCACCTCCTGGCCACAGTCCCCTAACTGCAGCGCCTCCCCCCTGAGCAGTGTGAGGGGCATGGAGAGAGGGAGAGTACTCCTGTTATCTTATGCTAACACTTAACATTCAAAGCCTAATCTACCAGCTCTTCAATGTCACTACATTATCATTTAGGCAGGAAGTGTAACGGGTCAACTCACCGCTCTGATAGGTCCCCGCTGCTCTCTCTACTGGCTTCTGATTGGCTCCCGGTTGCAGACTTGCCGTTAGCCGCCATGTCCTGAGAGGAGTTGTGAGAGGAGCCGTTGCTGCTGTCCGTCTCCTCCCAGCCGCCGCCCACCTGACCCGGGCAGCGCTGGGTCGATGCTGGAAACACAGGAGGATTATGGGACAGTGTTATGAACCGAATGGCAATTATTTGGGCCAGGATAATAGTCAAGACATGACATTTTCATATGTTCCCGTGCCTAAATCACACACTGCACATACAAGGGTATTTTTTAATGCTATTTAAAAAGCCTCAGCCCCAGAGGTGGGAAGTAGTAGAGTACCAATACTGTACTTAAGTACATTTTTCTGGTATCAGTACTTTACTCCACTACTTATTACTTCTTACATTTTGAACACAAATACCTTTACTTTCTACTTCTCACATTTCCCAAACAGGCTGGTTCCTTTAGTTTGAATGTGTGTTTGGTGGCGTGATCATTATTATTTCATTGCGTGCCTATTGATTTGAACACGATCCGTGTATCCATCATTTCCTGGTCTTCTCTAAAGAAGAGGGACCAATGAAAACGTTGTCATGTTGCCGTTGTTCAGCATGGAAACATTCATTAGCTAACAATAACATTATTGTTCTATTAATATAAAGGGAGGTCAGGTACTCTTTAAAACAGCTGCTAGTTATGGGTACTTTTTACTGAAGTACATTTCAAAGCTGAGACTGCCAAGGCACACGCCGGCACTGCTACCTCTATGGGGGCTGAGGGTGCTGCTACGGCCCGGTAGTAGTTGTCGTGGAGACGGATGCCCTGGTGTTCGGTCGGGGGGAGGACGGCGCTCGCCACCACCTCTGCAGCCTTCTGGATCTTATCCAGCAGAGAGTCACCGCCTGCTGGGAGACACACATAAAAGACACGGACGTTTACACAGTAGATAAGCTTGGTGTGTGTGTGTGTGTGTGTGTGTGTGTGTGTGTGTGTGTGTGTGTGTGTGTGTGTGTGTGTGTGTGTGTGTGTGTGTGTGTGTGTAGCGGTCCATCACTTACCTGTTGCCTGTTTCCCAGGACTGTATCCAAAGCCCTGCATTCCTGACCTGTGTGTGGTTGCTGAGCCCATTCCTGGAAAGAGAGACATGTTATAATGAAAATCCAAAATACATGAGCAGATGTAACTATACGTTATCATATCAACAGATGGATATTGTCATTCTAAAAGTGGCAAAACTCACCCATTGTTGGAGGGGCTAGGTTGGGCGGGGAGACGCTGTCTTTGGTGGAAATTGTATCTGTGAAAAGCAACCTGGCCACTTCCTGCAGAAAGACAAAGTTACATTTGAGTGTGTTTGCCTTACTGACACAGTTTTATGATTGACATAAATATTAGGCTCACCTGTGCGGTGCTTCTAACTTTCTGGTACAACGCTGTGCCGTGGATAGGATCAGGAGGGCCGCTGTAAACTTAAAAAAATCAAAAACACACAACAGCGAGTGAGTATTCAGCTGACAGGGCAAACTCGTGAGCTCAAAGCACAGCGTCTAACCTGATGCTTGCTGGACGAAGGTGGAGTTCCTTCGCAGTTCTGTGAGGAAATGGTTTGAACCATGACCGCACAGATGGACAAAGATCTTCAGGACCTGAAACCCCAGGAGCATGAACAGAACACAGAGTTACTCACAGGCAGGAAAAGGAGGAAAATCTACAATAAATGATATGAAAGACTTGAATAATAAAACTGTTCTCACCTTTATTTTGACATGGCATGACTCCACTTGCAGCCTCTCAAGAAGATACTCCAACAAACACTGGCCGTAACCTGTCGACTCATGGGAGATTTCTACAGTGATATGGTGGTTAAGGATATGTTGGCAAAGTTTCCTGGTTAGAATACTCAAAGGTAAGTCTTGTTTAATCGATTAATTGTTTGTTCTGTACAATGTCAGAAAACAGGAAGTATGTCCATACCATTTTTTAAAGTTGAGGGTTATGGCTTTAAATGTGTTGTTTTGTCAGTCAACAACCCAAATATATTCCGTCTAACATGACATTCAACAAAAACAAAAGCACATCATCTCCATATTTGAGAAGCTGAAAACAGTATTTTGTGCCATGTTTGATGTGTAAAGTTGACTTATAGCTGGAGTTCTACATTGAAAAAATGAACTTCTACACTTTAAAGCATAATGTTTACAGTGATACGCTTAACATGTGATTTACCACACTTTGTGTAGATCACAGACGAACCATTCACCAGCCATCAGATGAATTAATCTATTGCATGTGAGCCACATATAATAAGTACATTCAGAGTTTGCAGCTGCTGGCTGGACCACAACAGAAGCTGAGAAAAAGGATACTCCCAATGTCTTGGAAAAGGTATCCAGGGCAGGGGTTTTCATCATCTGCTGTAGCCTTCATCAGAGTCGGGACCTACAGTTAGTGGAAAGCATGAAGTGGAAAACAAGTTCAAAGCTGACACGAAGGGACTGTGATTTATCCCATGAGCAAAGCACAGTCCACATACCAAAACATTTTATATCAAGCTAACCTGTGTACTTTATAGATACAGATGTGACACAGATATGGACCAGGGTCTGTTTATCAGATTACTTTGACCAAACCGGTAGTTATAACATTGCTTTATGCCTGTCAGATGCTTTAAAATCCAACTAAAACATCTGCCAGGTCAAATAAGAAATGAAGAAATGTGTTCTTCTTGCTGTTAGCTATCAAGCTAGCAAGCTAATGCTATCACAACTTCACAGGTTTAAATAGACATGTTAACGTACGTCACACCCGTCATACTCCATTCAGCTGTTAGTGGTTTTAACAGCTTGTAATATTGACCTTAAGCAGCACTTACTTTCTGAAGAAAAGCAAATCTTTCCATAAATGTTGCCATGATTTAGCAATCCTGGATGCTGGTTACTCATCTTCCTCCGAGGTGTACGAGAGGAGGCGGAGCTAAATATGACAGCCAGCCAATCACAGAACAGCAAGTAGCTATCTTACTTTCTATTGGTGTTCCGGTTCCGCCTACGTTCGGAAAACAGCGAATCAGATTCAGCAAATCCTTGTGATTGACGTGGAAGTAAGCGAATCACAGTACCCTATATCCTGCTGGAGGTTTCCTTGATGACAGGGTCAACAATATGGCGCTGCCCATGTATTACAGAAATGCTTCATCTGCTAGTTGATGTTTATTTCTTAGTTTAAATGCTTCATGAGCTCCCTTTTAAATTGAACACACGGTGAAGCATTATCTGTTCACCAGTGCTGTGTTCTTTAACCTAAAGGAACCATTTTAACACCCGAACAGGAACCATGTCTGGGTCAAATGCATGGAGTCGCAGTCGTGAGAAATTGAGACTTTTCCCGGAACTTTTTGCACAGTGTTCACCAGAGGTAAGCTCTGTTTTATATAACTTAGCAGGGGAAATAGTGGTATGCTATTACGTTTGCCTCTAGAGTTCAAATTACAATACATTGCAGCTTTACTGTCTGTAGTGTGCTCCTAACAAAGTCAAATCAGTGTATTATATCATCTTCAAATCTGTGGATCTTGTAAACTAATGCTGATGAAACATATGTACATTTATTCTTTAGTGTGAACGTTAAAATGACGTGTTGGGCTGCTGTTAATTATCATGTCATCAATACCACTAATGTGACTCAGTGTTTCACTATTATAGGGTACACCTGCATTACTATACATATCTCTAACAGTTGCTGTTAACTTTCTGAATAGCTTATTTATAAACAGAAGGTTTAATGTTCACACCCCCCTTTGTTTGATTTAATTTAATTTAAAGCTTAACTCTTTTGTTCTTACAAATAAGAAAACATGAGGTGAAATTAATTGCTGTTTTTTTTATTATGTCCTTTAAAATATATTATTATTATTTTTCTATTTAATTATGAAATGTCCAATTTGTTTTCTCTTATTGCATTGTTTTATTTAAAAATATTTAAGAATGATGTTACTTTCGGCCATCCTTTGTTGTTTTGTGGTGGACCAGATATGCCCTTTTTTTTGCTAAAATAGTTTTTTTGGTGAGAATTTCCTTTTTGGTGTGATTTTTTATTTTTTTAAATCACTAACTTATATACCACCATAGACAGAAACTGAAAAAGATAACTAAGATTATTATTCTCTGTCCAATGTCACCAACCCAGGCAGCAACATATGGGAAGTGTGTGTCCGCCTCTACAACAGGCAAACAGGAGCTGAAAAAGGACATGTGTGCTAAAGAGTTTCAAGCACTGAAGACCTGCTTTACAAATGCAGTAAGTTACAAAGTTAGTAATCCTCCTGATTGTTTTATTCAGTGATCAAAAGATGTTCATGAATGAAAAACGACTCTCTTTTTATGACAGGCCAAGAGGAAAGCCAAATGATGGAAACTATCCTGGCTGTTAAAGCGGACATAAAAACTTTGAGAGGAGAAAACATGAAGTGTTGATGGACCTCTGGTGCTGACAGCGTATCTTGATAACTCTTCCTGGTACTGTTAATGATATAAATGTGTGTAATGTAATAAAAAAAAAGTCACTTTTTTATGACGTTGTTGAAATGAAAGCTGCATGTTGTTGCAATACTGACATTACGGCTCGAGTTCAGGGCGTTCCGAGCTGAAGGCGTCAAATGACGGCAAGACGCCCCCTGGTGGAAACGCTGATACATGTACAGAGGTGAATACAAAATCTATGATATTACCTGTCTCTGTGAACACAAACAGACCAAGAGCCATGGATGTAATAGATGTTTTTATTTAATATTTTCAGCAAAATGTACTGAAATACAATGCACATAGAAAAATAGAACAAATAGTTTCTTGTACAAAGCAAAGGTCGAACATGTGCTGCCCGATGGAGGAATTTCTGGGAAAACAAACACGATCAATTTTTTTTTCTTTCATTGTCCTTAACATAATATCATTTTCTCATGATTACTGTTCTCTTTACAGTAGGAGTTAAAGCACACGTTGAGGGAAAAAACAGCAGCATGTGGATTAGAAGGCACTCGTAAACCAAAAAGGAACAGGTATCGAAGGTGGGATGATTTGTAACTTGATGCTCGGGATCTAGCTCCTCCGTCGTCCACGGTTTATAAACCTCATAGCTCTGAGGCTGAATTCACCAACTTCCATTTGAAAGTTGAACTATTACAATATGTACATCTTGGAGTAACAGATAAACACAAACTAATCAACATAAAAGCAGCCCAGGAGACAACGCCTAAAGGCAAACAATAATACATCCAGGCTTTCTGAACACTTTACAGAAGGGTCTTTGCATAGATTTATATACATTTCAACAGTAACCTCTTCATAATCCTCCTCCCTAAAGACAAAATAAGTTAATATTTACATGTACTTTGCTCGTTAATAAACGTTGTGCTTCTCCAGAGTACACAGTATGAAGGAATAGAAGTGTTTCCTCTTTGTCCATATCTTCTTGAAGGCAGGAAAGAATGTAAGGCACCGGTCTCGTGGTCCACAGTGAGAGAAGTTTGTGCTGGAGTGAGAATGTGTTTCATTTTGCTCTTTGGTCGTCGGGGAGCTGCTTAATCTGCCGCGAGTGCACAATGGCCCCGGCCAGCAGCTGCTCCTCCAGGGCCACGTGCAGGTCGGAGCCCCCCAGCTCCAGCAGGGGCTCCAGGCCCGGCACCCCCCTGGACCCTCGGGTTCCCAGTGCTCGGCGCCTCCTCCTCAGATCCATCTCTCCCTGGCCCCTGACCTTCTCCTGGGAGCCCGGAGGCGGAGCTTTGACGGCCCCCCCCCTCCTCCTCCTCCTCCTGAGCTTTCTCTTTGAGGTCTCGTCCTCCTTTCTTCAAAGCTTCTCCCTGCGCTGCCTTTCCCTCTTCCATCAGGGCTTTCCTCTCCCGAGCCTCCTCAGCCTTCTCCATCTTCTCCGCCTCCACTATTTCATTGTTGTGCATCTCCCGCTGAAGTCTCTCAGCTGCAGCCTTCTCCGTTTCTAGTTTCTCCTTCTCTGCTCTCTCCTTTTCTAGTTTCTCCTTCTCTGCTCTCTCCTTTTCTAGTTTCTCCTTCTCTGCTCTCTCCGTTTCTAGTTTCTCCTTCTCTGCTCTCTCCTTTTCTAGTTTCTCCTTCGCTGCTCTCTCCTTCTCCGTTTCTAGTTTCTCCTTCTCCAGCTCCTGCTCTCTGGCCAGCTTCTCCCTCGTCTCCCTCTCCAGCCGTTCTTTCTCCACCCTCTCCTGCACTTCTTTCTCCACCCTCTCCTTCTCTAACTTCTCTTCGGCCATCTTTTCCTTTATGTCTTTCTCAAGCTCAATTATTGCCCGGACTTCTTTTGCTATTTTTTCATTTTCTTTATCTAGGCTTCTTTCTTCTTGTACAACTTGAGCTGCCTTCTCATTGTGAGGTACAGGCTGACGCTCAATGGGTTGTTTCTCTCCCAGCGGCACCCCCCTGGCCCCCAGCTCCTTCAGCGTATGGGGTTCTTTTCCGTGGCCGTCCTCTTTGTAAGCTGCTTTAGGAACCTCCTCCTCCTCAGCAGCCTGCTCTTGTTTCTGGACGGGAGGCTCTGCAGCTCCGGCCGCCTCCTTGTCCGGCTTCACGTCCGGTTCCAGGTTGGACTCTTTGGGCTTCGCTGCTTCACCTTCCGCCCCCTCCTGTACGCTTTTCTCCGCCTCACCTTCAGCACCTTTGGGTTTTAAAACACATGAATTTCCCGAAATATTACATTTCCCCGTAGGATTTGAAGTTTAGCAAATCTCAGTTTATTTAAATGTGAAAAGAAAAAATGTTTTGTCACCTACAGTATACCTAAGAAAAATCTGAATAAATATTTATGAGGCCAATATTAATATCAAAATAATCTTAATTATCATTTTGCCCATAATGGAGCAGGATAATGTGCATTTAGCAAATGCACAGGCAGTTGCCTCTGTAGCAAAATCGCAAGGAAATAGTCCAAAATAATACTTTAAAAAGTCATGGAAAGGTTTTTCGATATTTTAAAAGTGTGTATATTGTCATTATTTCATATGTAATTTAATTCCAGATTAATGGAAGTATTCTAGATTTTTGTATAGGTGCTACAGATACACAGAATTGGTGGCATAAGGACTGGGCATCATGAAAAACCATTGATGTCTTTAAATAAAAATAAAGAGTTTTTGTATGCGATAAAAAAAAATGGTTCCAATAGAAACCACTAATATACATATCAACAAGAATGGTTTAAAGCAGACATGTGAAGTCTTCAAATATTATTTCAAGGCAAGAGTGCCATGTCTTTAAGGTATTGTGTGTGTGCACCCACCAGGCAGTTTCTGGTGGATCTCCTTGTGTTGCTCCTCGATGACATGCAGGAGCTTTTCCTGCTGGTCCAGGAGTCTCTTCTGCTGCTCCTGCTGCTCCTTGATCACCTGCAGCAGCACGGCGTGGTCCAGCTGGCCCTCTGCGGGACACAAACAATCAATTAGTAAAAAAAGCTCTGGGGAAATTGTTGTTAAGAAGCTTGGTTAGAATGATGTGGGGCCAGTCTCTAGGTGAGAGGGGAAGGGAAATCAAATTGCTCTATGGCTTAGTACTGTCTCACTTAAACACACATCTACAGGTTGAAGCCTTTACGCAAGCTTCAACGCACGCCGCCGTGTGGACGGGCCGTTAGAGGTAGACTGGCAGCTGGACACACACACACACACACACACACACACACACACACACACACACACACACACACACACACACACACACACACACACACACACACTATGTTAGGGAGCAATGTGAGACGGTGGATTCTACACTGGAAAAGTGTTATTTATTGTAGTATCAAATGTAAATCCGTACATGTACATTATATCTATTAATTGGCCCACAGAGGAAATGAAGGGACATTTGAGCCGGATAGAGAGAAGAGGCAAGAGGGAATTCATACCTGCAACCAGCTTTTTTATCACTGTGATAGGACTCCGGCAGAGAAAGAAAGAAATCAAAGGGTAAAGATGGAGGTGAAGAAAGAGAGGGCAAAAGTGAACAGAACAAGAAAGTCAACAAAAGCCAAAAAAGACAAGCCAGGTCAAGAAGTAGGAGAAAGAAATGGATTTGCAAACACTGGAGCTTTTTAAAGCATGTGTACTAAATTGAAAATAGGCCCAATAAGCAAGAACGGATCGCAGAGATAAGATTACAAAATATAAATCATGCAAATTGAAATAGACAAAGGTAGAGTGGTGAACATATTTTAAATGTGCACTTAAACTGATATTGATCGTTTGGCCTTTTTTAGGTTCCTGTTGCCCCCTGTGGACAGCAGTTTATTGCTTCTACAAACTGGGGACGTGGCGAATCTACTCTGTGTGATGAACTGAATATGGATAAGTACCTCATATAACCCCATGTAAACCTCCCCTTTAATTTGGCGGGACAAAATGGTTTCTTGCAGTCAGCTTTTTATAGATTACCTCACGTCCGATCCAGTTTATAAATAAAACAAATATAAATACATTACACATTTTCAGTGCAACTTCTTTGAAACTGCTGCTAACTTAGTGACCACAGACTATGAGCTCATGTCAACGCCCCTGAATCCGCTCACCGTCCATCTTCTCGTCCGCTGTGTNAATGTCATATCACTTGTTTTGCAACAATTTTGATACAGGGTACTTATTATATGTTGTACTTTGGATTCCTAAAGCTTTTAGTCTACTAACCCATCATCCAAGGTTAGTTTTCACTATAAGTACAACATATTTTTTTACAGTTTTTTACCATGTTCAATCTGAATTTTCTTTAAAATAAAAAACATCTATATTGAATCTGACTTTTCTACATCCAACCGACAGGTTTATCATTACTTTGAGAAAAAAGATTATTAATTTAACCCTTTTAGAAGGGAAGATATGGTCATTTGTTCTGGGAATGTCATTTTCGAGCCTGAAACCTGAAAAACAGGCTCTGGGTTTTAAGTGGGTACGACACATTAATAGGTTGTTAAATATTAAGAAGCCATTTTTTCACAGTTTATTGTGGGCGGGGGGCAGCCAGGCTTAACAGGTTAAGATTCAAAGTATTTTGGTATATACTTTAAAATGCCCCTCATCTTCCTCAGATTCCGGCAATGGCGGTCGAGATGCCTGGCTCAACAGACATGTCGGGCCTCAATCTTCAGTTTGGAGCCTTCCAGTTTGGGTCAGAACCGGCTATGCCAGAGTACGAGTCCACCCCCGCCTCCACAACACAAGTCCACCAGGTCCAGAACAGTCTCTACAATAGCCCCAGCAGGTCAGTACATCCACAAATACTACCTAGTACCACAATACTTTGAAGATGACGTTTATTTTTTCACACCTTTGCTTAGGGTTATTCACGACCTTGTTCAATCTAAACATTTTTCTGCTAGCTGCGCTATCTATTAAACAAGAGTTCATAAAATAAATGATATTTGAAGTTTCATTCATTCATTCATTCATGTTTGAGTATTTAAAAGTGCTCTAAAATGTAAAAGGGTATTATTAATGTTCAAGTCAGAACCACTGATTGCGACTGGCTGTGAGGGAGTGTGGTCGTCTTTCAACCAGAAGGTTGTGGGTTCGATCCCAGCCCATGCAGTCAACATGTCGATGTATCCTTGGGCAAGATACTTAACCCTGAGTTGCTCCCGATGGCATGGCCAACGGTGTGTGAATGTTAGGTCCTAGAGTAAGGTACACTGCTCTGTATGAATGGGTGTGAATGGGTGAATGACATGTAGTATGTAAAGCGCTTTGAGGGGTCTTAAAGACTGGATAAAGCGCTATATAAGTACAGTCCATTTACCATTTACCATTCCTTAAGTACGCCATCTTGTCAAAACCGTTACAATCTGCAGTGAGTCAACTCCAGCTCTTTCCAACCCCAGTCAGATGGACATGTACGATCAGAGAGCATCTCAGACACGCCGCTACCCCCCCTCCGTCTCCTCCTCCCCTCAGAAGGACATGCAGCCCAAGGTAAGGACAAAGTGTCCCTCTTGATCACTTAGACTTGGTAAACAATCTAACATGGTGGTTTGTTAATGTAGTAAAGTAGTCTGTTGTATATGTGCGTTTTTTTTAAGGTGTGGGGATTTTAAGACTGTTGTGTTTTAAACATGACTCGTTGTTAAAATGCACTGCATAACTTAAATCTTTCCAAAAGCCCAACACCCTTCATCTTTTTATGAATGGCCTGTTTCCATGGAAACCTGTGAGCTAACCTACATTGTTGGCTTTACAGAATGGCTTCAGTTCAATACACGGAACACATTCTGGGGAAGGTAAGGGTCTATATATATCTAGGTTTTTTTTCTTCTTCTCAAAATAATTTTTGAAAAAGTCTGGATCACACTGGATTGGAATTTATTAAAATGTTGTTATCTCTCTCTTTCTCCTCGGCTGCAGCGGGCTCTGCAGTAACAGTTCGGCAGGTCTCTGATTCAGTCACGGCTGTCAGCATGGGCACTTTGACTGACAGCGGCTCCGGCCCTGCCTCCTTGATGGCTTCATCCAATCAGACATCTCTCAGCGGTCTGGTGCACAGTGAAGACATGCCTCCAAATACTTTCCCCCCTCCTCAGCACAACAAGTGAGTTTAACACACACAGTAATATAGGAAAGGAAATGGTATCTGCGGCAGGTAGAATATTTTTTCGCCGGTCAACATGTCCGTTAAAGTTTAAATCTTCCGGACAAAATTTGAAAAGTGCCGGTCAAAGGTCTTCTTTGTTATTTATTGTGCCTTAAAACTAATTGATATGATTCGATATTAAACAAACTAATTATAGTAGATTAATTAACTATTCAAAGTGTACAGTAACTTACAATAACACGGGAATAATAACACGGGAATAATAAACGGAGCGCTCTCTCCCTCTCCTGACAGCCCGTCAGTATCATGCAGCTCGTGGATCAGTAATGAGTGACCCGACAGTAAAACTAAACAAATCCATAACTAGTTTAGGTTGTTTGAGAGGTAATTAAAATAGCTACGTGTGATATTCTAAACTGAAGTGTGTGTTTTGTTCTGCTCACCGCTGCATGTGATTATGCAGAGCTGCGTGTCGACTCGTCAGCAGTTTACTCGCGTTTATGTCCATATCGATCAGATCTAGCTAATGATATGACTACCTGCTTATTAAAAGACACCTAAACAATAAGTGTCGCTCTGCAACCGGGTGAGGGTGCAAAGTATAGCGCAGCATTATGCATTTGTTTACATGCCCACCGGAACCCCGAGGCATTACCAACAGATCAACGCACAATCAACCCATACAGGACATCTCTTTCTCCACATTACGTGTTAGACATTAGAGTTGACTATTCTTGTCTGTCACATACTCTTTGGTCCGTCACATAAGTGGCGCAAGTTGCGCAACTGATGCGGTATTGTGCTAAGGTGAAATGATTTTGACCGGAGAGATTTAGCATATTTTACCGGTCATAGTCCGGTAATTACCGGCTAATGGAAATTATCCCAGAAGTTTATCCAGAGATCATAACTTGAGTATTAGTAAATGTTAATTGTGCTCTGTATAGATAGTTGAGATATATGTTGAACCTTCTTATTACTTTTACAGCTCTCACCAATCACAGCAGAACAACCTAGCTCAATCTTCAGTCCGGTCATCCAACTCCAGCTTAATGGTGAGATTTTTATTTTATATTTCTGTATTTGTCATAGAATCAGGCATTCAAAGGTTTTTCTCAGTTCCTGTGCTGGTGGATGAAACTTTTGGAAATAACCTGCAGCTATTATTTTACCTGCAACTTTCCTTCATTGTTGCCACTTCCATTTAACTTTGAGAGTCACCTATAAGGAATTTTTAAAGGGTTTAATAATATAAAGAAAAATTATAAACTTTTTTTTTTTTACTGTACAGTAAAGTACAATATCTTCAATTCAAATATGTTATTTTGATCAGTTAATTCAGATTTCACATGTCCAGGATCACCCTAATCATGATTGCTTTACATATTTCAGCAAACCTTTGAAGCGAAACCATAATTTGTATTAATTTAAAAATGAGAGTTTAACAATAAGAACATTGTCAATATGTTGCGATATTATTTGAGCTTACTTTTCCTTTTATTTTAAGCAGAATTACACTCGACAAACTTTCTGTCATGCGATGTTGCGAGTCTTACTTAATCCTTTTTTGCCGACTCCCAAGTATGGCTACTGCAACAGCACAATTTGACGCGTTTCAAAATCAGCAGCGGCTGGCTTCACCAGGTCTTCTATAGTGCTTCTGTTGTGTTGTGCTATCTGTCAGTGTCCGATTTTTGTGTGTGGAAAGTGTCAATTGCATCAGTCACCGTCAATGCAGGTTAGAAGTCCTGCATGACATATGTTGTCATGCACTGGTGCATGTAGAGCTGAGAATAACGTGCGCAGCTTTTATTCTTCCAGCAATTATGTGTTTTCAAAATCCTGTGGATTTCTTTGAAGAGTAGGTTGGATGTTGTTTTTTTTAACCAAAAAGAAACTGAGGTGTGTGTTGTACATGCTTATGCTGGCCAGCGTTTCTCCCTCCATCTCCTCCTTAAGCATTTTCAAAGCTTCATTTCCTGTGATGCCAGATGAACGTATTACATGTCCATTTACTCTAATGGAAATGTAATCCCATTAATCCTAACCGCATCTTTTTAACTTCGTCCTTCCGTCTCTGCAGCATCCCAGCGTAGACGTTGACTCAAGCCTGCACTGCTCCAACTACCCCTCCTCCGTGTCATCGGTGCCATCATCAGTCCCCTCCTCTTCCTCAGCGCAGGTGTCCCTAGGGGTCCATCAGGCCTGCTCTGTGGGCTCCAACACAGTTTTAGCTCCCTCTGGTCTCTGCCCCATCAGCAGCCTGGCCATGGGCCTTAACCCCGCCTCCATGGCGGTCCAAGCTGCAGTCGCCGCTGCTTCAATGTCCTCGGCAGGCTCAGCCATTCCTTCTTTAGCGAATTCGTCACGCAATTCTGCAGCATCCTCAGGTTAGACATAAACACAGGTGCAAACATTCTTACACTTTGACACCTACACCTCTTTAGACAGTTTAACATCCAAATCTTGCAATTGCTCAACATAAATGTAAAAACTGTAGATTTTCAAGGACACACAGGGGAGTAGGCTTTCCCTCACATGTGTATGCTTTTGCTTACTTTAATTTGAATCTATAGCTGCAATACCAGTGAGTTAATTGTAGCTTTGGTAATTTGGGTGTCAGGACTTCACACTGTACGCATGACTTTTACTATATATCCAATCCATATTAATTTTCAGTTTCGAGCATTTAGTCAAGTTTTTCTTGTCAACAGTTTTCTTTTATCCCCTTTTTTCGCACTTTAAACTTTTTAAAAATTACAAAATCTATTTGATCACTTGATAAATTATGGTGCCAGTGAAGAGCTTGTTAATGTCACCCCAATATGGCTGTTTGTACGCATTACCACACAGTGGTGCAATTGCTGTGGAATTATGTGGCTTGTTTATTAGGCCTGTGATAATTTAATTTTGTTGGACGATAAATTATTGCGATATACGTAATATTGTCCGGCACCGTGGACGCATTTGTGAGACGGACCGTAGCAGACTGAATGGAAGGTCAGGGTATGAATAATTAATTCACATTTACATCCTTCAAACAGAGATTTTTATTAAACCATTCAACAGTGCAATGAAATGTGAAATAATATTCAAATTATAAATTATATATATAATAAACAAATTAATTTAATTATAACATTATATATATATATATATAATCTATATATATACTACATTATACATAATGTATTTATATAGCATATATAGTATAACTAATATATATATAATTACTAATTATATTATATATTACCTAGTTATTATATATATATACATACATAATTTATAATTATAGTCTATATATATATAGATATATATATACTATTATATATAGTATATATTATTAA